CAGTCATTGCAATCTAATGGCTTTTTTTCTTTTCTTTTTTAACAAATAACTTGTAGAAATAAATAATTAGAATGTTCTCCTCCTAATAAATATCTAATGACCTTGAGCAGAGAGCTAAATTAACTGCATAACATTTACATTTGAAAACGATTTTTAAGCTTAGCTTGATAAAATACTATTAACACTTCACACTTGTAGAATGTTTAAAAATAGAATATTTAAAATATACTTTTAATAATCACCAAATAGAAAACAACATTTTCAAAAGGTGATGCAGTTTTTTTCTCTTTTTTCAATTTGTGACATTTGACATCCACTACTGAACTGCACACTTTGTAGTCCACCTAATTATGTAGTCATGAACTGAGGGGAAGGCGGATCGGATCACTTAAGGGGCAGGTCACCTCAGGGGTAGATCTGCGTGCCTGCAGCTAGTGTATCTGCTCTTGCTGCTGAATGTAAAATGGCGGTATCATGTACAGTCGCGGTCTCAGGTGAGCGAAACACCACGTTCTCTCTTTGAAATGTCATTGCCGCAGTCGCCGCGAACACTGGCGCGACATTTGCATTCTGTCTTGCACTTGCCTACACACATTTCAGTTTAATATGATGAATAGGTTTGTTTTAGAATGCAATTTATTGATTTTCATACCGGGTGCACTAGTGAGGCAAGCGCCATTTTTCGTATTTGATAGCATTACTATAATAAAGTATATGATCATAATGTCATGAGAAAAGAGGAGCAGATCATGCATGCAGGTCTACAATTTTCTCTGAAATGTTAGCCGACAGAATGCTCCATTTCAAGCGGCAAGTCAATGAAATTAGGTTGCCGATTTGATTTGTAAAGATGGAATTTCTTGATAAAACACTTGATAATCGCACGCGTGTCTCTGCTTGTCATGATAAAGTTAATCTGGCGGCCAGACAGTCTACGCTTCAACAGAAACGCCTCTTGTGATTCAAACACATCAGACTGACATACATTATCATGCCTCTGTCAGCTGTTGATTCCTGAGACTCAAGTAAGCCAGTATGGATGATTTGCAATAATAATAATAGACCATGTGGACAGTCATAATTAGCTCTAGCATTCGGTTCACATGCAGATTGTTTTGATGCAAAGATGTTTGAGTCTTGCATTGCTCAAATGTGCACATCAGTGTGCTGGAGAGATGGTAGATGAGTTTTGAGATTATAGCTGGTACAAACTGGTAGACCATCATGCATCAGCAACAAACAGTCAAGAAACCAGTTACCATGTTCTATAAATCAGCCATCAGCTTAAAATGGATTTTCCAACTGGGGTGCATTATAAATATGTTTAAGAGACCACTGTGAAGTAGGCTATGTGAAAATGTTTCATTGCCTAATTTCACTTGGTCCTAATACATATTGACACAGCTATTTCCTTTCTTATGGAACGATATTCCGGACAATTTTCAAAAGGAATTGCAACTTGTATTTTCAATTGCGTTTTCAATATGTGGACGCATAAATTGTGACATAATCCAAATGCAATTGCAAATCCTGCATTACCGTTTGCATTTTCGCTTTCGCGAACGCACAGTGACTGCCAAATTTCAAATGAAAAAGCAAAGTCCATTTGCAGCTGTATTTCCCATGTCTTAGGAGTTACGAGCCTGTCATATTTAAATAGCAATATTAATTACCAGTCTGCTTTTTCACTCTCGCTGCGTCGCGCATGTAACCTGCCAAAACTCAAATGGAATCGCAATTCCTTTTGCATTTGAATTTCCGATGTCTGCATGGAAAGCTGCCAATCAATGTGAGGGGGCGGGACTATACTAGGGGGCGTGTTTGTGTTGGGAGGTGACGTCACTCACAGACGACCGTGTAATGCGCTGATCAATGGAGGTAATCGGTAAAGGTTCCGCTAAAGGCAGCTACCAATCAGTTTCGTACCTGTGTGAACGAACAGGCAGTGCAACCTTCTTGGCACAATACATAATTCTGTCTTTTTTACCCCAAATGTAGCGATTATCCCCTGCTAACAGCGGGAGCCACAACGGTACGCACAATAGGTCAATATTCATTATTAACCAAACGCTTTTCACCTGTCTCAGCATCTCTCACTGTTTACACTCACTTACACTTTTAATCCATAATAGAGAGCGTACGTGTCACACCTGCCTCAAGACCTTTTGCACTCCATTTGATGCACTTAAACAAACAAACAGTGCAAATCTACACGTATTTACCTATTTGCCACCTATATCTTATTAAAACGCAACTGAAAATACAATTTGCAATTCCTTTTGAAAATTGTCCGGAATATCGTTCCATACTTTCTTGCATCATCTTTACAAATGCAGTGCACTGTATAATGCATATAACCAGGGATGTAGTCATGCAGTGAAATACAGTTGTGCATATATTGTAATGCATAATATATTATTGCAAACCAATATTTAATACCCAGCGTTCATGATTTTTTGCCATTGCTCTTTAATGGAGCACATATAAGTGGTACATTTATCACATCAAATGCCACAGAGCACCAGATCCTTGATCCATTTGTGCAATCTCTTTGTTCTTCATCTTCATCGTGACTCATATTTCAAAAGATGAGCTGTATTGCCAGAAATCTGCCAACATGGTGTGGATGTGTGAGGAAGGTTAATACTGGGTTAAAGAATGACGACGAACGACAGCTTTCACTGAGGGATTTATGAAAATCAAATTAGCAATGGCAAAGGTGGTTCATTAAATTTAGAGTAAAAATAAGTAAGCATTTTATTTTTAACACTGACATGTCTTTCTGCCTTATGTCTCCTCCCGTAGGGTACCAGACAGAGAGGCTGCTGCATTGGCAGCTGTGGAATGAGGTAGTAGTTTGTATAGTTTGGGATCACACCAGATCTGGGAGATAACTATACAGCCTACTGTCTTTCTCACAGCTGCTCCCTCACATCAGATACACCGATGACGTACATTCACTTGGGATTTGTGGGATGGCTGAATATATGCATCTTTGTTCTGTGTGTGCTTTCTGAGAATGTAAATAGTGGAGAATTGGTGATTGTCTTATTGTACAAACTACAATAGCTTAGCCCCCAAATAAAAATATTGATGGTCATAACTGAAGATCGTAATTTAATTAATGTGGTCTTTATGGAATGGTTACAGAATTGTTTAGAATTCAAACTGCACTGTCACTATCCAAAATGCTGTAACTAGGTTGCTACATTACGTGATTATATGTTCACTGTCAGTTTATACATTTGTGTATCTTGTGTGATTGTTATTATTATTGTTTGTTTACACCTGCTGTAATATATAAAAGTAAATTGAATACGCATTTGTGTCTCCTCCCTCAAGTCACTTTATCAGTGATTGTTTTTTATGCCCTATATTATTTTATTTTTACTATTCTTAAATGAGCTCAGATAAAATCTCTTCTCAAAAGGTGAGTATTCAGGCAACCTTTAGCAGATCTTCAGGGGCAAGGTATATGTATGTAACGTTTGTTTTGTATGAGCCTTTGTCAGACAATTTTCAATTTATTTCACAATAACAATATATATCATAGTTTTTTTTTTTAAATCTTAAAGATGCAAATTAGAAACAGGAAAAAGAGTAGCCTATATGAAACATAAAATTAAACAGTGATTTCATTTTTTGAGGTAAAGACTATTCAGCAATAGAATTAAAGGGGTCATATGATGTTGCTAAAAATAACATTATTTTGTGTATTTGGTGTAATGAAATGTGTTTATGTGGTTTAAGGTTCAAAAAACACATTATTTTCCACATACTGTACATTATTGTTTCTCCTCTATGCCCCGCCTTTCTGAAACGCGTCAATTTTTACAAAGTTCATCGGTCTGAAAAGCGAGGTGTGCTCTGATTGGCCAGCTATCCAGTGCGTTGTGATTGGCCGAATACCTCATGCGTATGACGGAAATGTTACGCCTCTTACCATACTGTGATGCCGTGTACGGCTGGAGCGATGAGACAAGAACATTCAAACCCATTATAAACGAGGCATTTGTTGCATCCAGTGGGGACATAATTACGGATTATAATGAGAGCGGGCTAGAGTGAGAACGGCGTGGCCAGCGGATTCGACAAAGGAGCATCCGGCAGGCTTGCAGCAACCACATGTGAAGACCCCGGGCTGGACTCCCCACATCTTGATGTAGGTATGTGGGGGCGTGTTAGAACGTGCTGTTTTAGGTAGGCGTGGTTGACTCTTAACTTTTATAAAGAATATCTCTTTGGATTTGAGACTTTAGTCTTTGCAACTTTACAGATCTTCTTTATGCACCAAGAGCTTGTAACACTCCAAAGAGAAAGGAAAAATTGAAATCGCATCATATGACCCCTTTAAAATAAGAAATATTTAATCAAATGTAAAAATGTTTTGAAACCTTTAGCAGATCAATATATTGAATGTAGGTAATTAAATGCGTTTGGCACCTTATTAACGCTGCTAATTCTGAATGATCACCGTCTGGCGTGCGAGTCCGACGTCCTGTAAAGATGTCAATCACATTAACTAGCCAATCGCCTTAAAGGGCGTTGTCGCGTCCGTGTTTGTGATTGGGCGGCAGAGAGCTTACGCGCGGTGACGTCACCACTGGTACCAAAGCAGTTGCAGCGTATGAATATGAAGTGTCAGAAGTGTCAAGGTGAGAGAGAAATGGAATGAATTAATAGAAATGTTCTGGCTCAAAAAAGTAGTCTGTCCTGAAGTTCAGTTTTTCAAGATTGCTTTGCAGCTCGCCTTAGTCTGGACGTCATTGTGTGGTTGTATTCCACATCTTCTCACCATATTTTGAGTTGTAGCCGCAGTGCTAACTAGTTCAGTGGAACTTCTGTGCAGTTAAGTGTTTGACTGGTAGTTATTGTTAGACGTGTAAACATCAGAAACAATGGCGAATAACCAGCTTTGCTCTTACTTATTACAATATCCTTAAACTCCGGTGCTGTAAGCTTAATTAAACCTCATCGTTTTGCAGCATTATAGTTGAACCATGACTGAATTGTTTGTTGTATGATGAAACATTAACAAGCTCCATGCAGGTTGTGTAAGTTTGCTTTCCGCAAACTATATATATTTTTGCTTTTGTTTTTTAATTCAGGTCACGTCGGAGTCAGATGTGAGATCGGCTGCGGATTTGGCCAAGGAGAAGTATGGCAAAGTGGACTTGGCTGTGAACTGTGCTGGGATAGCTGTGGCTGTGAAAACATACAACTTTAAAAAGGACCTTCCTCACAGCCTGGAGGGCTTCACTCGTGTTATCACTGTAAGCCTCACTGCATTTACAGTGTAACTGTAACTGAACCTCAAATGCCACTGCTTCATATTTCCAGAGCTGATGACTATTTTAAATATAGTAGAGCAGCTGTCATTTTATTTTATTAAATTTTGGTCACTGTAAAATTTATCGTTATTATTTGTCTAAAGCATCAGTCCTATTGAGAAGTGAAATCTGAAGACAGGCAATGCCATGTAATTGCATTTATTAAAATTTTCTTTTGAATTTGATCTATTAAAGGTGAACATCGCTGGGAAGTTTAATGTGATCAGACTGGCTGTAGGGGAGATGGGCAAGAATGAGCCTGATGCAGATGGACACAGAGGCTGTATCATCAACACAGCCAGTGTTGCTGCTTATGATGTACAGGTATATCAGCCATACACTGTCTGGCATTTGGTGTCTGTAAGATGTCTTTTTTTTTAAAGAAATACTTTTAGCGAGGCTGCATTAAGTTGATCAAAAGTGACATTATTAAAGACATTTATAATGTTACAGAAGATTTCTATTTCAAATAAATGCTGTTCTGAACTTTCCTTTCACTGATAAAAATAATAAATGTTTCTTGAGCAGCAAATCAGCATATTAAAATGATTTCTGTAAGATCATGTGACACTGAAGACTGAAGTAATGATGCTGAAAATTCATCTTTGCCTCACAGGAATAAATGACATTTTAAAATATATTAAAATAGAAATCGGTTATTTTAAATTGTAATAATATTTCTCCATTTTTTTTTTTTGTTTTAAAAAGTTATTACTGTGTTTTTATCAAATAAAAACAGCCTTGGTGTGAATAAGACACTTCTTACCCCAAACTTTTGAACAGTTAGTGTGCTGTCTTTTGCTAACCTTACAGATTTATGACACTGCAGCACTGTAAAGTTTTTTAGTCTTTTTAAGGTGGGTCAGGCTGCATACTCTGCCTCTAAAGGTGGGATTGTGGGTATGACACTTCCTATTGATCGGGACCTTGCACCACTGGGGATCCGTGTGGTCACCATCGCCCCAGGTCAGTGTCCCTGAGATGCATATTTTGTTTCTAAACAGCATGATCTCGTCATTGTGTCCCATTATTGTTCTATCAAAATTCATTGTTTGATAGGAATTTAATATTTACTCAACTTACGATGTGAAATGATCCACAATATGATTTTCTCCAAATTTTTTGGGGACATTTCTTTTTGAAATGTAAATATATTTTATGTCAAATAACAGATATAGGCTGAAATAAACAAATCGAATAAATGAATAATTAAATAATAAAAATAAAAGAAATTATTCATATAAAAACTAAACAAACTAAGGCTTTGCCTGTGCTCTTTCCTAGCTTGGATTTTATTTATTTATTTAAAGAAATTGATATTGCATGTCCACATTTTCCAGTTGAAAATACTCCTTGTACAGAAGATGCTTATGAAGCAAAAACAGAATTGTCTGACTTTAGATTTGTGAAATTATGCTACATAAAACTACATAAAACAGACGGGCTGAATGAGATGCAAATTCACTCTCTGCCAGCAGGTGGCGCTTATGGAACAGCAGGGAAATAGTTATAGAGTTTCCACGGTTACCACTGTAAACAAAACAGCTCTGCAATAATATGCATTATACAGAGGCAAGATGAAAAGAAAATACCATCTAAACTTTCACGTCTGGGAGATCCAGCTGAGTTTGCACACCTTGTGACAGCAATAGCAGAAAACCCCATGATCAACGGCGAGGTGATTCGCTTGGATGGAGCCATCCGCATGCAACCCTGAAGGAAAAAAAGGAGCAGAGTGGAGAGACTCCAGCTGAAATACCTAAAACTGGTCTGTGACTGAAGACTTGATACATATTAAGCATTTTCAGCATAGCGTCAGGATACTTTGTATCTGAGTGGAAGTGCTACCACTCGCATGAGTGTTTTTTTTTTAACCACTGGAAATCTTGTAGATTTTTCAAGTCTTGAGTCTGGTATTTCTATACTGACTGCACTTCTGTGCCACTGAGGTACTGTCCTCTAATGACTAATGACTGATGTGTCTCCATAGTAAATGCATTTATACCGTCATACGGTTGTACAGGAGTCATGCAAACTCAATGTCTCTGTATCCACTTATCTTTTTGTGTCAAATATGTAAAGCATAACATGATGACTTTTAATGAATGCTGTTGTAGATAAGCTCATGGATCACTGCAGTGAACTAAATACAACTCCAGGAAAGATGGGTGATATGAAATGTGTTGGATTTGCCACCATACTGACTTATGACTATTGTATCACTATTATATCAGTGATTATTAACCAGGGTGCCGGGACCCACAAGGGGGCCTCAGCATGACTTAAAATTATTCAAATTAAAATATTATTCATGCAATTAAAATGAATTCTATTGCTATTTACTGTTGTCACAATACTAAAATTATGACTACGATACAATACCTGACTAAAATTATCAGGGGCCTCATTTATAAAATGTTGCGTATAAACCGTTCTAAGATCATTTTTCAAAAGTGCGCAAGTGCGATTCAGAGAAAATGAACGTGCGCACAAAAACACGTGCGTACGCCTCTCTTCCAGATGTGACATTTATAAATCGCAAATGATCTTGAAATTGTGCGCAGCTGACTGGTGTCAGATCTCCGCCTTGTAAACGCCCCCTAATTAATATCATTACCATATAAAAGAGCACACGCCAATATCAGAATTTCTATTCTTGAGAATGATGAGCATAAAGAAAAAAGAAAGGGGGGGCCCGGCCACCTCGGTCACTGTGCCCCCTCACCTCTGGTGCCGTCTCCGTAGTGGGCGCCCTGATTTTAGTCGGTGAGGCAAGGTACTGCCCTGGGAAGGTTTCCCAGGCTGTTAAATACACAGATTAAAAGCGAAATGTTTTCGTTTCGGTTCTTTCTTAGCAAAAAAAAAAATTTTTTTTCGTTCAGGTTATGCAGAGCGAAATAAGAACGGTGCTGCATTTAGAAATAATTATTAACTTTGCTATTATTCTCACTTTGTGCGCTCTGGCGCCGACCCTGTGTCTCTATTCATTTTCACAGAAGCAAAGCAGCAGAAATAAAAACAATGTTATTGAATAGAATATATTAAAACCGTTATTGCACGACATGGGCCTATTACACAAACAAAACAGTCGAGATGCGTTTATGCGTTTTTTTTTTTTTTTCCTATTTTACGCATTAGTAGTAAATCAAGACTTCGCAAGTTCTCTTGTAAAATGCTAATAATAAAAAAAAAACAACAACATGGAATAAACTGTGTACAGAAAGCGAGTAAAGAACTCTCAACATTAGGCTACTAAAAAGGTCAGTTTAATCTCGCAAAAACTCCTGTTAATAAAAAAATCTGACTACACTGCACAATTAATATCTTACACTGCATGTTTGTTGTTTATGATGAATTCGGTGCTTGCACGTACACCGCTTTTATTATTGCAGCTTAGATGTTCAAATAGCTGCAGTGCTCCGACTTTGCCGCAAGGAAAAATGCGTACGTCTGCTCAGACCCTGAGGTGGCGGTAAGTAGCCTACTTTTCCACGTCAAAGACCGTTTTTATAAATATGAACGTAGCCGTGGATTTTAGTGTACGCACACTCTAAGATCAAATCTGTGCGTACGCACATTTTATAAATTAGGTCCCTGGATCCCAATATTGAACCAACTGAATAATAGATGACAGAACGCGAAATATAAAGTTCTTTGCTTGCAGTTTAAGGTAAATTGCTGCCAGTGTGAATGTTTTGTTTGTGTATAGAATTGTTTACAACATAGAAAAGTTAGCTAAAAGGATAAAGCCAAATTAAGTTATTTTTGCTCTCATTTGCTTTCAGATTCTGATGGTTAAAAATCACTTTACTATAAAATGAACCTCTTCTAAATGGAGAATGATTTATTTGCATTTATGTACTAATACTTCTCTTTTTTTTCAAAGATAAATTGCAAGCATTTTGTGTCAAACATCACAGTAGCATGAAGAACTGGACCAACAGAGGGCAGAATCGAGCTTGTTTTGACAATCAGGACAGGAGGCTCATATAACTGCATATTATCTATGTTGTGACTATGACAGGGTCAAAGATCTTTATTGCAATAGCATTATTAAAAGACTTGCAAATGCCATTTTTGATAGTTGGAAAAAATTCTGAATATCTGTTCATATCTTTCAGATAAATAATGATATCTTTAGATTTTAGATCACTGTAATTTTTGTGGATTTTTTTAAATTATTAAACTGTGGCTTAAATATACAACTACTTGAACAACATGGAAGACTCATCATCAGCCAAAAAAAGTAAAAATGGAAAATATTGGCAGCTGTGCACAAAAGTCCTGCTAAATCCTTTACTGAACAGATTGAGCATAATTAAAGTAAACCCAGATTGATGTTCGTAAATCTGCTTTAGACACACACACACAGCTGATTGATTTCTGTCCACAGGGTGGCAGTTCCACTGTAATCTAAGTTTCATTTATTTCAGTCCATTCTAAAATCTACACAGACCATGTTAACATGATTACACATCAGAGAGGTTAACAGTTCTCACAGTTACCATTTGGTTCTGGAATATGCAAGGATGATCATGTTTCCTGACTATTTCAAAATCCAATTTACCATATTACTATTTTATTTTATTATTATTATTTCTAATGTTTTTCCATTTTATCTACTATTTATATATTTAATTCACACTGAGTAGCTGACTAGGTTTACATTTCAAACCATATGATATGGGTCAAACAAGCATTTGTGGAGTGTGGGGTGAAACAGATGTTAGATCAAACTTGCCATACGTGGCGAGTGGTTTGAATCATAACTGAAGGTTATTGAGTGTCCCTGTGTTGTCTCACTTCACTCTGACATGTTGCCCAACTTCTGCTCCATCATGTCATGCATCTATCAGGGAGCCATGAGTTAGGACAGCTTTGATGGACACTTCTTGTCATCCCATAGATCTTTGCACTGTCAGGAAAATTACTTTCACTATTAACAATGAAGCGCTGGCTTCCGCAGAGGACAAACATCTGAGACTGTTTGAAGACATGGTTAAAGACTGAGGGGTGCAGGAAAGGGACGTCCTGCTGCTTGTTCCCAAAAACAACAAAAGGTTTTGTCTAGAATCACCAGAGGTTTCAAGAGCACACTAACAGGCTGATTCATCAATATGCATTATTAATACGCTCGGGACAATTCAATCCCCCCGACTGTGTAAATATGAGTTTGGGTGTAATCAGAACACAAAGCCGCTTTATGCTGAACCTCCAGAGGGCAGACGGCACAAGCACGCGACAACCTGATCGGCGTTTAGAAACACATGCATCGACAGCATGTACATGCATCATTTGGATAACAAGCTGTCTCTGAAAATCCCTCAAGATATAGAAAAGACATTGCGTCATGTTGATTTTATCAGTGTAGATCCCAAAGAAGTCATGTCTAGCCTGCTGTTTGCTCCTTGAAGTGGTCTAAAGAAAACGGGATATAGACTAGGACTCTTTTGGAGACGAGGACAGATGCAGAAATGAGGAGAGAATGTGAGCTGGTTGTCATTTATCTGGGTCAACCAGACCGACCTCTTTTATTCAATAAAACATAAACATGCACGTATCAGTGAGATATCAGTAGCATTTAGTAGTGAAATTGTCTGCAGATGGGTGAACCTCACAAAACGAGAAGAAAAAAACTAACAAACATTTGATTTAATGAAGCCCATTTAAAGGTCAGATGTTTTTTTACACACTCAATTGTAATTGATTATTTAAATTTAGTAATTTAAATGATACTTCATTGTTATTTCCACATGACAGTATGAAAATACAATACTGGGAATGAGAGTTTTTTGCATTATTGTAATGGGAATTTGGAGGGAAATTAACTCTTGAACCTAAAAATAAGCTTCATTTTCTTCATGAAATATATAAACACTACCATTCAAAAGTTTAGAGTCAGTAAGATCTTTTTTTTGTTTTAAATTACTACTTTCATTAAGCAAGGATTCATTAAATTGATCAAAAGTGACAGTAATGA